GAACTTTTGCTTAGCGTATTGCGGCAGCGGCTCCAGCGACACGCCGGGCCTGGCGAACTGATAAAGTGTCGCTCCGCTCCGCGGGGCGGAAGGCTTGGAAAAGCTCCGGAAGTTGAAGCATGGGGACTGGGAAGTGGATAGCGTGTCGCGGCGAAGCGCGGTAAGCCAGATCTGGCGGAGCGACACGTTAATCAAAAGTTCCTGACCGTCAGGCCGATGTGGCTGCGTTCGCACACCTTCTCCACACCATTTCGGCGCACCCTTCACACGTTTCGTGGCTCCAAAGGGGGCTCCACCGAACGAAGGCCCAAATGCAGGAATCGCTTGCATGACCGCTCCAGATTCGGCACACCCGCCACACGCTTCGTGGCCCCCAAGGGGGCTCCACCGAAGGCCCCAGTGGCAGGAATCGCATGCGTGACCGCGCCCAGTTCAGCGCATCCCTCACACGCTTCGTGACCCCATGGGGAGCTCCACCGAAGGCCCCATTGGCAGGAATCGCATACGTAACCGCAATTTCGGCACACCCGTCACACGCTTCGTGGCCCCATACATGGGGAGCTCCACCGAAGGCCCCCGAGACCAGAATCGCATGCGTGACTGCGCCAAATTCAGCGCACCCCTCACATGCTGCATGGCCACAAGGGGAGCTCCACCGAAGGCCCCAGTGGCAGGATTCGCATGCGTGACCGCGCACATTTCGGCACACACCCCACACGTTTCGCAGATCAGCCGTAATGGGTTACATCCAGATGTAGCCCGGATTGCCGACCTCTGCGACCCCATCAGCAACGTCGCTCCGCCCTTCCCATGCACGCCTTGGTCCTTTTGCTAGCCCCCCCCCCTGAGTTTCCATCTGTCATGCGGCACTCGCATCCAATACGTGGAGGTGCCTCTACCCATTCCCTGGGACCAGCTTTCCGTCGCATCGCATCGCCAGCGGCACGGAAGCTGTCTGAACTATCGCAGGGCGCCTTCACGCCTCGTGGCCAGCATCTGGGCGCCTGCTGCTGAGAGCTGTGGCCGGCGAGGGCGCCCAGAGGCTGCCAGCGGGGCCAGAAGCCGTCCGTCGTGCTCTCTCGCGACGCGGCCATGTCTGGGACTGCAAGACACCCATCAGTCGGCGGCGAGCCCAGGGGGAAGTGAGCGGGGGCAGGCCTTCTCAGAAGGCGGCGGGGCTTCTCAGGAGCCCTTGCGCGATCTGAGGGGCCTTCTGAGCCTTCGCCAAAGACGGAGGCGGCTCCTCAGAAGGCCCGAGGGCTTCTGAGAGCAGCCCCGCCGCCTCCTGAGAAGGCCTGCCCCCTCTCGCTTCCCCCCTGGGCTCGCCGCCGAATCGGGGCTGACGCCCACGGCACTGCTGGCTGACGCCGCCGACGGCACTGCTGGCGCTGGCCGGCGGGCGGTGGGTCGAGAGGCGGGGGCGGCAGACCGGCGCGCTGCACGGCGTGCTCGTCTCCAGCTGCAGCCGGTAGATCACGGACAGCACCCGGTACACGGCGTCGTCGACTCGCTGAGGGTCCTCCCCCGGCGCACGGTGCGGCTCCTCCTGCTGCGCCTGCTCGTCTTCTGCGGCGTGGGAGGAGGGGAAGCGAGAGAAGCAGGGAGGGAGGAGGGATGAGGACGAGGAGGAGGAGGGCGAGGAGGAACATGGAGGGGCAACGGGAAGGGAGGAAGGGGGAGAGGCAGGGAGGAAGGGAGGGAGGAAGCGAGGGTTGATGATGATGATGCTGCTGATGATGAGTGGTGGTGATGATGATGGTGGTGGTGGTGATGGTGATGGTGATGGTGATGATGATGGTGATGGTAATAGTGATGGCGTTGTTGATGATGGTGATGATGATGATGGTGATGATGGTGATGGTGATGGTGATGATGTTGATGGTGATGGTGATGTTGATGGTGTTGGTGATGGCGATGGCGATGGCGATGGTAATGGTGCTGGTGATCGTGATGGTAAGGATGAGAATGATGACGAAGATGATGATGATGATTACCATCATCGTCATGGCGATGGAAGAGGTGATGGTGATGATGATGCTGATGATGGTGGTGATGATGGTGATGGTGATGGTGGTGGTGATGGTGATGGTGTTGATGGTGATGGTGATGGTGATGGTGATGGTCATTGTGATGCTGATGATGATGATTTAGATGATGTTGCGGATGATGAAATTGGAGATGAAGATGAAAAGCAAGATAAAGATGAAGACGACGATGATGATGGGGATGATGACGATGATGATGGTGATGGTGATGGTGATGGTGATGCTGATGGTGATGCTGATGGTGATGATAGTGATGCTGATGCTGGTGATGATGCTGGTGGTGATGATGATCACGTTGTTGATGGTGATGGTGATGATGCTGATGCTGGAGGAAAAGCAGGAGGAGAAACATGAAGGGACAAGAGGGAGGGAGGGAGGGGGGGAGGGAGGGAGGGAGGAAGGGAGGAAGGGAAAGGGGGGGGGAGGCAGGACTAAAAAGGGGGGGGAGGCAGGACTAATGATGATGATGGTGGTGGAAATGATGATGGTGGTGATGCGGATGGTGTTGGTGATAACGGTGGTGATGATGATCATCATCAGCATCATCAGAATGGTGATGGACGAGGTGATGGTGATGATGAGAATGACGATGATGACGATGGTGATGGTGGTGATGATCCTCGTGATGGAGATGGTGATGGTGATGGTGTTGATGATGATGGTGCTGGAGATGATGCCTGTGACGATGATGACGATGATGCTGATGATGATGAAGATGAAGATGAAGATGAAGATAATAACGAATATGGAGATGCTAATGATGATGGCGACGATGCTGGTGAGGATGATGATGATGAATATGGTGATGGTGATGGTGATGATGATGGCGATGGTGAGTGTGATGCTGGTGGTGGTGCTGGTGGTTATGATGATCATGCTGGTGATGGTAATGATGATGATGATGATGAAGAAGAAGCTGGTGCTGATGATGATGCTGATGATGATGATGATGACGATCATGATGACGATGATGCTGATGATGAAGATGGTGGTAGTGACGATGACGAGGAGGAGGATGGTGATGGTGATGGTGATGATGATGGTGATGGTGATGGCGATGGTGATGTTGATAGTGATGGTAGTGGTGATGGTGATGGTGATGGTGATGGTGATGGTGATGGAGGTGGTGATGGTGCTGGTGGTGGTGGTGATGGTGGTGGTGGTGATGATGGGAGGGGAAAGAAAAAGAGGAGGAGGAGGAGGAGTGACGCTGGCCGAGAGTGGAGGGGTGGGAGAGAGGGCGGGCATAGCAGCAGCAGCAGACGGCGAGAGGAGAATCCCAGGCTCCATCTGTCACAAAACTCGCACATAGAAACTCAGCCTCCCCCCACAGGGGGGGAGGCATGAAAGGCCGAAGGCCGTGCATGCGAAGTGCAGGCATCAACTTTCGCAAACACTGGCCGTACACGACAGTTGGGATGAGGCACGGGGCCTCTAGGGCTGAGACAGGCATTCGCTATACAGCATTCCAACGCACATTCGCACAATGCAGGAATCAAGCGCTAACACGGCGCAGAGGAGGAGGAGGAGGAGGAGGAGGAGGAGCAGGAGCATTATTGGCTCAGCATCAGCAGCAGGATAATGAGCAGAGGGGGAAATAAGGAAAGGGATTGTGGCAAGGACACCAAAAGAGGCCCACCAGCATTTCAGGGCACGGGTGGTTTAGCAATGTTCCTCTTCCAACTCCCTCACTACCCTTCCACAATTTCCTTACGCCTCCAAACAACCCGCCCGCCCTGCCAGTGACGATGGGGCGAGTGGAGGCGTAGAGATACAGCGCAATGTTTCTCTTCAACGTTGGCTGCATCGTGTGGGTCGGGGAATGCTTGCCTGGCGGTTCGTCTGATCCCGCCCTAGCCTTCCCCCCCCCGTCTAGCCCACGCTTTTGCAATGGGCCCCGGGCGGAAGGGCAAAAGATTCTGAATGGTCTCGCGCTCCCCAGTTGCGTCTGCTGCGGCAGCCAATCGCCCTCGAGCCAGAGTGGCCGCGGTGCGGACAGACCTGCACGTCTTGGGGAGGGCGCCTGCCCCGAGGTCGGAAGGTACAAAATTCACAAGAACTCGTATCATCGAAACTGCTGACGGCGAGGCCACAGCCCAGTGGACGATCACGGCACCCCGGGAAGGCACGCGGCGAAGCCACGGGACGATCGGGGCACCCCGAGAAAGTTCACCTGGAGATCTTGCGATGGGCACCTTCATGTCGATGCAGGATGCGTTACCCCACTTTGTGGGAAAAATACCTGGGCAGACATCGGATTAGCTCCTTGAGCGTAGCGCCAGGATGACAAGGATCTCAGAGAGGGCTGCAAGGGTCACCCTAAAACGGGCCGGATTTTAGGGTGACCCTCTGGGAAGCGGAAGAGCCTTTCCAGATGAGCTGAAACATGTGTATATTACATATCGTGAAGGATGCGTTATCCCACTTTGTAGGATAAATGCCTGGGCCAAGGTATTGGACCTTGCGCTTGCTCGGCACGGAAATTGTGACTTCCACACCGCTTCGCTCTGTGTTATCCGGGAAGGGATTTATCACTGTTCCTTCTTCCACAATCAGAGCTTGCCTCTGTAGGGGTCTTAGCGGATTCGTATGGTTCAATTACCTGCGTCGCCGACTTCGGCGGCCCACCCGGGTGCCTGGGTGCCTGGGTGCCTGGGAGCTCGGGTGCCTGGTAGACCTATAGCCCTATAGCCCTATAGCCTTATAGCCTTATAGTCTTGTAGCCCTATAGCCGTGTAGCCTTATAGTCCTATTACCCTACAGCCCTATGGCCCTATAGCCCTATAGCCCGATAGCCCGATAGCCCTATAGCCCAATAGCCCTATGGCCTTATAGCCTTATAGCCCTATAGCCCTATAGCCCGGTAGCCCTATAGCCCTATAGCCCAATAGTCATATAGCCCTATAGCCCTATAGCCTTATAGCCTTATCGCCCTACAGCCACATAGCCCTATAG